GCCACATTCACAGGAGAATCTGTCTCAAATCAGTGGCAGTGAATGTGCCATGACGAATAAATATCCCAACTCCTATGCCACGTTACCCACACCACATCATCATCACCATCATTACAATAATAGTCATCACCATATTCCCCCACTTCCTGCTCCTCCTCCGCCCTACACCAACAACAATAATAATAATACAATAAAATGTAATAATATTGGCTTAGTTGCGAATGGTTGTTGTAATACCAAATCAAAGCCAACAACGACGTCAATGGCTACTTCCGTTCTAACGCTGAATTCTTCCGTTTTGCTTCGCAATGGTGGCCCGTCATCGAATCATTATCGACGCGGTGAGACTCCTCGCAGGCGCCTTATACGTCCCGTATCGTGTTTTGAACCTGGTGATCATGTATGATATTTGTCAATTTTGTTTTTACGTTTCTTTTTTATACCCTCCACCATACATAGTATGGAGGGTATATTAAGTTCGTCATTACGTTTGTAACTCATCGAAATAATTATTTTAGACCCAACAAAGTATATATATTCTTGATCAGCATAAAATTCTAAGACGATTTAGCCCTGTCCGTCCGTCTCTTATAATCACGCTGCAGTCTAAACGAATTAAGATAGGAAGTAAAATTTTGCACAGATCTCTCTTTTGTCTGCAGACAGGTCAAGTTCGAAGATGGGCTATATCGGTCCATTATATCGTATAGCCCCCATATAACGGTACCCTCCGATATTCGGTATTTTGAAGATGTTAGCCACATTTTTCAATGGAATTGTATGCAAATTCACACAAGTAGTTCCTTGTGAATACTTTACCCCCTGAGAGAGAATTGTCTATATAAGTCTACGATATCGTATATCCTCCTTATAACTGTACCCCCCGATATTCGGTGTTTTGATAACTTTACCCACATTTTTCAACGGAATTGTCTGAAAATCCACACAAAGAGTTCCTTTATACCTCGGCAAAGAATTATCTATATAGGTCCACGATATCGTATAGCCCCCATATAACGGTACCCCCCGGTATTCGGTATTTTGACGATTTTAGCCACACTTTTCAATTGAAGTGTCTGAAATTCCACAAAAGGAGTCCCTTGCGAGTATTCTACCCTCTGAAAAAGAATTGTCTATATAGGTCCACGATATCGTATATGCCCCATATAACTGTACCCCCCGATATTCGGTATTTTGATGATTTTACCCAAATTTTTCAACGGAATTGTCTGAAAATCCACACAAGGAGTTCCTTATGGGTACTTTATACCTCGGAAGAGAATTATCTATATCGGTCCACGATATCGTATAGCCCCCATATAACGGTACCCTCCGATATTCGGTATTTTGATGATTTTACCCTCATTTTTCAACGGAATTGTCTGAAAATCCACACAAGGAGTTCCATGTGGGTACTTTATACCTTAGCACAGAATTGTCTATATAGGTTCACGATATCGTATATCCCCCATAAAACGGTACCCCCGTTATTAGGAATTTTGATGATTTTACCCACATTTTTCAACGGAAATTGTACACAAGGAGTTTTTTGTGAGCACTTTACCCCACGACAGAGAATTCTTTATATAGGTTAATGATATTGTGTAGCACACACCTAACGGTACCCCCGATATTCGGTATTTTGATGATTTTAGCCACATTTTCAAATCGTATTGTCTGAAAATCCACACAAGGAGTTCTTTGTGAGCACTTTACCGCCTGAAAGGGAATTATTTATATAGGTCCACGATATCGTATATCCTCCATATAACTGTACCCCCCGATATTCGGCATTTTGATGATTTTACCCAAATTTTTCAACGGAATTATCTGAAAATCCACACAATGAGTTCCTTGTGAATACTTTACACCCAGACATAGATTTATCTTAATAGGTCCACAATATCATATATACCCCCATACATTGGCACTTTCCACCTAGATGTAAAAAAAATTTAATGGATTTTATTTTTTTGAAAATTGTCTAATTCTTTCCAAATGGTGGAGGGTATTCAAATTTCGGCCCGGCCGAACTTACTGCTGTTTTACTTGTTTGTTTATATTTTCTGCTTCGGTATCTTATCTCGGTGCGATGGTGAATTACTCACAGGGAGTTGGCTTTTTCACGGTATTCTATTGGGCAATATGACACAATGATTTATATGTGATTTGCATATGTATATTTGAGGCCTATGCCTCAATGTTGTCTTTCAAATAGAAGACCTTCATTCGCATAAGAGGCCTCTGAAAAGTATTTTTTTTATGAATTGGTTTCTTTAACCTTGAAGACCCATTTAAATTGTTCTTTGGAAAAAAATATCCTCTCAAGATCGTCTTTGGAAAAGATGATCTTTCAAAATCTTCTGCAGAAAGCAAAAGCCTCAAAAGCCTTTGTTAGAAGAGATGAAATATTCAAGGACATATTTCGAATAAACGAGTTCTCAATGTTTTCTTTTCTGCAGAAAACCTATCCCTATGACTCTAAACCATAGAAGACTGCTCCATGAAGTCTTTTTCCCTCACCAAGGGAAATATAGAGCAAAATGACAGGGGGAAAGATTTTAAATATTATCCAACATCAAGATGAGGTGTAGAATGTTGTCTTTAAACCCTACACCACATAAGGGTAAGGGTATTATGCCCTTGTTTGTAACATGGAGAAGGAAGCGTGATAGATCTAGAGATACTTTGAGGATCTTCATAGAATCACTTTCTGGCTCGATTTATGCATGTCAATCAGTCTGTCCATGTATTCTTGTGAAAAAAAATGCAGATCGCATTTATTATCCAATTGAGATGAAATTTTCCAAACCATATTTATTTTGCCCAAGGACGAAGCCTATTGAAATTTATGAGAATCGGTTCAAATTTACATATAACTCCCATATCAGATTTTGGTTTAATTGTGAACTAAATTACAAATACCAGTCCAATTGACCTGAAATTTAGCAATTCCAACGGAATTCAACATAGAAGCAAGTACATCAAATTTGGTGAAATCGGTTTAGATATAGCTATAGCTCCCACATATATGTTTCATCAGATTTAGTGTTTCACTTCCTCACATAAACTAAGATCAGAACCATTTTAAAAGCTCTGCTAGAAGAAACAATTCTGGACTATAGCGTCTATAATATAATGTCCTTTAAAATACCGAATATTGAGAAGTTCCGCTATATAGGGGCTATACGAAGACGCGGACCTGCATAAGTAATTTTTTTTTTTTTTGTTTTGTCATAGGTTGTAGTATCCATTTAGATTTTTATACCCTCAGCCTTACGGCTGGAAACAGTATATATCATTTGATACGGCCAAAACGTCGAAATAACGATTTCAGACCCTAAGTCTCTTTGGACCAAATACGTTTCGGGACATTAGGGCCCGATCTACCGGTGTCTGGCCGGCTGATGCGCACGATAACTCTCGAAGGGAGTATCCGATTTAATCAACACTTGGTACATTGTAATATTATTGTCAAATTTAGTTAGATTTCGGAGATGGGCAATATCGGTTTACCTCTTCTGGTACCTCCCACACAAAATGTCAAAATTTTCAAAGAAAATAATTTAAAGCCCAGAAAGTGAAAGAACGAACCGATTTTGTCCCTACTTTGCGAGTCCTAGTATATTCATCAGTGCTGGGTTAAGTGCAAAAACGGACAATATCGGCCCACTCCTCCTACCTCCCCATTATAAAATATGATGTACGGGTCCGATTGACTTCAAATTATACAAATCAAATTTTTTTTATTAACACATGGTCCGGTGTGAACATGGACTTCTTCTTCTGGTACCTCCCTCACAAAGGGTCACAATTTTCAATATTTTTATCTGTCATAACTTGCGAAACAAGAAACCTGAGATAAATATAAAGAATTTATGATTTCCCATAAAATTGGATATAAATATTTGATTTTCTTGTAATTTTGCCCATACTAATATTTTTATCTGTATTAGATGGAGTAGGAAATAGAATGCTACCGTCGACTATATATGGTAACTCACGCACATTAATTTTTTCTAAAAATTATCACATATCTCATATAAAGTGAGGAAAGTAGTCGGTATAGTTCAGACCTGACACGCCACAATATTTATATCATATTTATTTATGTCCGATGCTTCTTAGCCCACTCCATAGAGGTTTAACAATTTGAATAATCATAGCAGAATTAAAAATATATTTAAATAATCGAACATTGGCTAAGGGTATACAGCTATCGGCAATACCGACCAATTCCATTTGACTTGTTTTTTCTCTCAATTCCATAGAATAGTACCAGAAGAATTATAAATATTTGCTTATTTATTTATATATAAATATATATTTATCTTATTGAAGTTATTTCCATTTTAGGATCCATAGTTTGTTGCCATGAGAATTAAGCACCAAAAGAGTCGGCAGAATTTCTCTCCCTCAATTTGCCTGCGTGTACTCTTTAATGGGCTATTAACAATTTAATAATGCCCTAAACAAATAGAAACAGGAGTGATTGTTTAAATATTTTCATTTATGATTTAACACTTTATTGCTTCTTTTAATGTTTTCTTTTGATAAATAAATAAAAAATGAAATAATAGTTGTTTGTTTATTCATTCAACGATGGAGTCGTTCTCTAATCGCTCTCTCTCTCTCTCCCACTCCCACTCGACTAGTGTTTACATAGCCGTCATTTCTCCGGTTATGTTATGAGAAAACACACACACACACAGCAGCAGCAACATCTGGGTGAAGATATTTGCAAACAATTTTGTAGTTTTTTTTTTCATAAATTTTAATTAACATTGCTGTTGTTTTTGCAATTATTCAACACCCTGTTGCTGTTGTTTTTGTTGCTAATAACACACACTTATTGAGTTTATTAATGAAATGCTAAACGCCATAAATCATATAATGTCTATTTCCATTTTATGTTTTTTTTTTTTTTTTTTGTTTTTCTTCAACTTCTTTTCATATTGCTAATCATCATTGTTTGTCTCTTCTTTTTCTTCTTTCTATAGAAAAACAAGGAATTGATGAATGATATTATCACCAGTTGTAAATTTAAAAATGGTAAGTACCCCCACCGAATAAAGTATCACATATCGGAATGGTGGAAGCACGTACATGCAACTGGTATACACATATGTACGTGTGTATGTTTATATTTATGTCTAAATATTTATGAAAACAATTAATAGATGTATGTGGACACTTGTCTGTCTATCAAGCTTATGGCACTGGTCTGTTCGTGAAATAAAAAAATGGAAAAAACATAAATTTACAATTGAATTGCCGCCATCATTAGCCGGTACTTGTGCAGCACGAAAGCAATATGATCTTGCAGAAAAGCTATGTTTGATGCACAGTGGGGTAAATGGAAGAAAACAAGTAAAAAAGCAGTAAGTTCGGCCGGTCCGAACTTTGAATACCCTCTACCAATGGGAACGATTTTGGCAAATTAAAAAAAAAAATAAAATAAATCGAAATAATTGGAATAAAAAAAAATAGCCGAATTAGGAACAGAAGAATTCGAACTACAAATAAAATAAATTACAATTCGAATTACAATTTATTTTATTTATTTTTTTATTATTTTCTTATTTTTTGAATTACAAATAGAATTCTTCAATTACAAATGAAGATTTACGAATTACAACTAAAAAGTTTCAAATTATTTCTGAAAATGGTATCCTAATCGAAATCAAGAAATATACAAAAATAAAACTTTTAAACTAGAATTTGAGAATAAATTTCAATTAATCTCCTAGATAAACATAATTTCCTCCCACTGTGCAGCTGTGGGTGACTGGATGCTAAAACAAACGACCTTGGTAATTAATTCCATCAAACAGTTTTTCACGAAGTTATCTATTGGCAAAACCGGATCTTGAGAAAAAGAAATATGTAATTGTGTATGATGTATTTAAATGTTCGATATATGGGTGTTATGTGCCACAGAGACAGTTGTCCAAATGCGGTAAAAATATATGTTTATAATTCAAGTTTCTGAAAGTATTTAAGTCACCAGACGGAACTTGGAAGACACACAAAATTATGTAAAAATTTTCAAAAAAAAAAAATGTAAGTGATATAATTTAATAAAAAATGTGTATTGACGATTTGTTGCAAAAATAATGGATAAAAAATAATGGCTATAAAAATACGTGTTTCATCCTAAAAACTAGGTCTCTTTGGCTCAAATCACTTTTAGGACATTTGTAGTCGACCTAGCGATGTCCGTCCGTCCGCCTGTATGGCTGGTGCGTACGAAAACTCTCGAGGGGAGTATCCGAATTGGTCTAAACTTGGTACATCGTAATGTTATTGTCAAATTTACATCAAGTTCGGAGATAGGCAACATCGGTCTATTCCTTCTAGTACCTCACCCACAAAAGGTCAACATTTCCAAGGAAATAAAAAATTTAAATTTTCCGAATAGAAAGAGAAAGCGTCATTCGATTTTGTTCCAACTTTTAGTGCTGCGTCAGGTGCGAAAATGGACAATATCGCTCCACTCCAACAAGTACTTCCTCCTCAAAGGGGTCAACATTTGGAATAATTACAACTGTTTTAAAATGTGAAATAAAAGTCCGATTTTCTTCAAAAGTCACGCATCCTAACATTTTTATCAACACAAGATCTTTTTTGAAAATGGGATATATCGATTTAGTCCTTCTGGTACCTCTGCCACAAAATGTCGATATTTTCAAAGAAAATATTTTACTGCACAGAGAGAAAGGATAATTAAATTTTTCTCTAACTTTGCAAATCCTCATATTTGAATCAGTTCTAAACCAGGTGCAAAAATGGACAATATCGGTCCACTCCTTCTGGCACCTCCCCCACAAAGGGTCAAAATTTTGAATAATTATAACTTATATTAATATATCGGTCCACTCCTTCTGGTACCTATCTCAATATTGGCCCATTCCTTCGGAACATAGTCCATAGAGGGTCAATAATTTGCCTAATCATAACAGAAGTCAAAATATGTTTAAATAATCGAAAATTGGCTGAGGGTATATATCGGTTGGCAAATTAATAAGTAAATTTTAGAATAAGTTTAGATTTGTCCGAATTGGTTACCTTTTGCACGAATTATGGCCTTCAAACGGCAAATTAAACCATCACACGCTGTCCGAACGTTGCTCTGCAGTATCTTAGCACATTCCCCGCGAAGCTTGAGGTGATCAACACTTTGGTACTTTTTAGTGCCAACCTTGCTTTCCAAAATACTCCAGACAGAGAATAGTCCAACGGATTGGTATACGGAGATTTTGGTGGCCATTGCGCGCTGGAAATGAAGCGAGGAACCTCATTTTGTAACCATTCTTGGGTGGCGCGTGCTGAGTGCGATGGTGCTGAGTCCTGTTGGAATGTCCAAGTTCTGCGGCCAAAATATTTGCGTGCCCAAGGCTTTAATACACCCTCCAGAATATTTCCGCCATAATATTCGGCATTTGTTCTGATGCCACAGTCGATTAATACGAGCGGAGAGCGACCATCGGCTATTATGACGGCCCACACCATCGCCATGGGCAGCGCTTAAGTTCTGGTGGCCAACCGAAGGTACACATTTTCTGCTCACCTCTTTGGCAAGTAAACACGATCATTTTGTTTGTTTAGAAACTGCTGGACAACAAATGCTTTCTCATCGGAGAAAACTAAATTCGGCAGTTCACCACTTTCGGCCAAGCCAAGCAACTCTTTAGCTGTTTTGAGTCGATTTTCTTTCTGTTGCGGTGTAGGTTCTTGCACTTTTTGGAATCTCAAATGCTTTACCCCGACCACATTTTTCAATATTTGCCGAATGGAATATTGCGATATGTTCAGTTCACGAGCCATTTTTCGGCCACTGCGACACGGGTTTCGACCAAGTCGCTTCTTTACTTTTCGAACCATTTCCGCTGATGTTGCAGTTTTCGTCCGTCCACTTCCTTGATGTCGGGCTACGCTACCAGCATCACGGTAACGAGCGATGATTATTTCACATTTAAATGGTGGAGTGCTCCAACGATAGCCACTTGTGATTTTCCAGGCAAATATAAAGAAATCACACTATCACGCTTGATTTCCATCGCGGATAACTTTTTTTCTGGTAAATTCTCACCAAAATGTTTTTGTACGCTTGTTAACAATATAATGAGCTGTCACTCGAATAATTTTTACAAGTTTAAAATTTAAATTTTACATGAATCACACATTTCAATCTGACCTTGTCCCAAATTATGAACTGCAATACTGGGAAAGCAACCTAATTTCCTTCCAAAAAAAAAAAAACAACAACGTTTATTCAAAAATATTTCGCTGTGATAAATGACACCATGAGGTCTAACTACTTAAAATGTCTTATCGCAGCTAAGTTGAAAATATTTACATATTTACACCCTCCCATACCCACACGCTCTCACACACACACAGAGAGAACTCTTCTGAGGCCTATTTTCACAGAGACAACAACAACATTTAAATTTAAGTTTATTTTATCTTCCAAATAGACAGACAGACAGACAAACCGAACGCCAGCAAAAAAGTAAATGTAAATAAAAGTCTGGTTAATTTCGGAACAAAAGTAAATAATCTCTGAACTTGACCTTGAAAGTCAATGACAAGGAAAAGCAATTAACGCAACATTCTGGCGTTTATTCAAGTGAAATGATTCGTTCATTTGCTAAAGAATTTTATTCAAGTTTATAATTTAAAATCATATTTTTTAGTTGTAAACTAAAATGGCATTTCAAGTGTGTGTGTGTGTGTGGTCTCGTCCTCTGCATAATCCTTTAACCCTTTCAGTGTTTTTGTCAAATATATTTGACATTTAAAGGTACTCTCTTTCTTTGCCATTTTTTGTTTTTCTTACGAACCGTTATTTTTGATATTTTTTAATAACAGACACCTTCGCTATTTACAAATATTGCAGTTCTATTCTATTAGTTTCGTTTTCAAATTTCTGAGCACATTTTAGTAAATTAGTACGGAATTTCAGATTTTTATCTCGACAAAAATTTTCATTGACACTGAAAGGGTTAATTAAAATATTAATTCGTCGGAATGCCAGCGAATAATCCATGTCCGTTATTAAATGACGAAACATCATGACTACATCAAAAAAAAAAAAAAAAAAAAAAAAAAAACACAAATATATGCATACATTGTCCTTGTCCGAGGATAGTTTGACACTCATAATCCCATGATAAATACTAAATGGGAAATGCGTAAAACACGAAATAAAGCCAGGACTGGCTGGTGTTCATAATAACGGCATTTACTCTACACGAGAAGGACACATAACAAATATACATATATATATGTGTAGGAATTTAATTTTCTTGTTATTTGAAATGTTTATGCAAATGCATTGGCATTTTCATTTGTTCATAGTAACCAGGACATGACACTGCATAATTTCTTATAATCTTGATGTGTGAGAAAATTCTGGTCGATGAAAAAGGTAAATAATAAAAATTTCGAGAGAGCGGTGGCTTGCTACAAGAAAATCCACCCACTGATCCTTTTGGACTTCTCTGAGTGAAGACTATTTTGTCTTCTCGGAGAAGATTATTTCCTTCTCTGAGAAGATATTTTCCTTCTCTGAGAAGACTTTTCCCCTTCTCTGAGAAGAATTTTAGTGCGTTTTCTAAAAAGACCCTTTGGTCGTCTCTAAGATGACCTTTTGACCCCTCCAAGAAGAGTTTTTGTCGTTCCTTGAGAAGACCATTTGGCCTCCTCTGAGAACACTCTTGGCCTATTCTGAAAAGATTTTCTTTAACACATTTTGACCCTTTAAAAGAAGACCACTTGGGTTTTCATGAGAAAGATTTTTATCTTCCATGAAAATACCTTTTGTTCTTTTATGGCCTTCCAGTCTTTTGTGAGAAGTCCTCCTGCTCTTCTATGAGAAGTCCTCCGGCTCTTCTATGAGAAGACCTCCTGCTCTTCTCTTGAGAAAACCTTCTGGCCTTCTATGAGAAGACCTTCTGGACCTCTATGAGAAGACCTTCTGGCCTTCTATGAGAAGACCTTCTGGCCTTCTATGAGAAGACCTTCTGGCCTTCTATGAGAAGACCTTCTGGCCTTCTATGAGAAGACCTTCTGGCCTTCTATGAGTAGACCTTCTGGCTTTCTATGAGAAGACCATCTGGCTTTCTATGAGAAGACCATCTGGCCTTCTATGAGAAGACCATCAGGCCTTCTATGAGAAGACCATCTGGCCTTCTATGAGAAGACCATCTGACCTTCTATGAGAAGACCATCTGGCCTTCTATGAGAAGACCTTCTGGCCTTCTATAATAAGACCTTCTGGCCTTCTATGATAAGACCTTCTGGCCTTCTATGAGAAGACCTCCATGTCTTCTATGAGAAGACCTCCATGTCTTCTATGAGAAGACCTCCTACTCTTTTATGAGAAGACCTCATGCTCTTCTATGAGAAGACCTTCTGCTCTTCTATGAGAAGACCTCCTGCTCTTCTATGAGAAGACCTCCTGCTCTTCTATGAGAAGACCTCCTGCTCTTCTATGAGAAGACCTCCTGCTCTTCTATGAGAAGACCTCCTGTTCCTCTATGAGAAGACGTCCTGCTCTTCTATGAGAAGACCTTCTGCTCTTCTATGAGAAGACCTTCTGCTCTTCTATGAGAAGACCTCCTGCTCTTCTATGAGAAGACCTCCTACTCTTCTATGAGAAGATCATCTTCTATGATGAGACATTCAACTCTTCTATGAGAAGACCATCTCGTCTTGTCTGAGAAGACTTTATCATCTCCTATGAGAAGAAAGTCCTTCTGCCCTATTTTGAGTAGACTTTCTCGCATTCTATGCGACTGCAATTTCAAACTAATCTCTTAATTTAATATCATTGAAAATTCTCTTTTTTTCCTTTTGTAAAAACATGTGTACAAATAAGCCTTTAAGAGCCTGTATTACAATTCATTAAATAATATCCAACCAAATTTATTTTTTTTTTTTCTCTTTGCAGGTTTTGGTCCCAACACACAACAGCAGCAGCAACAACAACAGAGCAATTCATCACCCACTAAGCGGCCACTAAGTCCAGATCATCCCAATCCGGCATTACCAATAACCGAGGTAAGCATCGGCAACATTTTCCATTTATGCAGCTGCCAAAGGCCAGTCTGAAATTACGAAACAAAAGTGACAATAAAAACAACAAAAAAACAACGTTTTTCATTTATTTATTTATGAATGAATGAATTCAATTCGAAATTTATGAGTGTCTGTTGAATTGTCTGGAAAAACTTTTTTTGGTTTTGTTTTGGTTGGCGGCGATATGTGACAGCTTGGTTTTTCCTATCACTTTACATTTGGCGGTTTTCGGTTTCGTTTCATTACCCCTCGCACCTCCTGACAGAAGCTGGTGTCACGTGGAGCAACAAATGTCAGTGTAGTTGCGGTTTGGTTTAGTTTTGTCTGGTCTGGTCGAATGGCAGCAAATGTTGTCTCGCCTTGTTTATCCTGCAGGATTTTGTGGGGAAAAATAATACATGCTCAAATGGTGAGGAATTATCGCATCTCGGCACAAAAGCAGGTCACTCCGTAGGATTTTTAGACTCCGTTTCAAGGTTAGGGTATCTGAAAAGAAAGAACATTTTTTATAATATATTAAAAACAATAACAACAATAAAATAAAGTTAAAATTCGTATGAATATTAAGTGTGAACATAAAACAAGGAGAAGTTTTTATCTTTCTTAATGTATCTCCTAATTGTTGTAACTGTCTACAAAGATATTTTGTTGAGCAAAGTTAATGTTAATGTAATACAAAATTTAAATATTTTATATAAATTCGAAAATCCTAAAAAAAATTTATAAAATCTGAAAAAAATTCAAAAAAAGTTTAGTTCCTTGGTCCTTGAAAACATTTTCTTCAAAAAATCCTTAAAAAAATAAAAACCACGTTTGTAAGTTCATGGAAGAGTATTTAAAAAATTCCGCGTTTGTCAGCCCTTGGAAAAATATTTAAAAAAATCCGCTTTTGTTTATGCCTTAAAAAAGTACTCTAAAAACCTATGTTTGTTGGTCCTCGGAAAAATATATTTAAAGAAATCCATATATGTTGGTAGTTGCAAAAAATATTTTTTTTTAAATATATGTTTGTTGATTTTCGGAACAAAAAATATTTTTAAAATTATGCACAGATGAAAAACCAACCAACCAAGATGCAAACAACTTCAGACTGCTCTCACTTCTAAACCACTCGTCCGACAGCTGTTAAAATTATTCCAGTGGCAGCTCATTATATTGTTTACAAGCGGACAAAAGCCATTTGAGAGAATTTTCCAGAAAAAAGTTATTCGTGATGGAATTTTTTGGTTGCAAAACCACAAGTGGTTATCGTAAGAGCATTTCAGTATATGAATGTGAATACATTTTTTGTGTCTCGTACCATAGCCTGTTACCGTGATACAGCAACCTCAGCAGAAATGGTTCGAAAAGTAAAGATACTGAAAATGTGCACCTTCGGTTGGCAACCAGAACTCAAGCGCCGCCCATGGCGATGATTTGGGCCGCCATAATAGTCGATGGTCGCTCCGTCCCGTCCTATTAATCGACCGTGGCATCAGAATAAATGCCGAATATTATCGCGAAAATATCCTGGAGGGTGAATTAAAGCTTTGGGCACGCAAACATTTTGGCCGCAGACCTTGCACATTCCAACAGGACTCAGCACCATCGCACTCAGCACGCTCCACCCAAGAGTGGTTACAAAATGACGCTTCATTTCCAGCGCACAATGGCCAACAAAATGTCCGGATATCAATCCGTTGAATTATCGTGTCTGGAGTATTTTGGAAACCAAGGTTGGCATTAAAAAATACCAAAATGGGCAAAATGGACAGTGTGTGACGGTTTCATTGGCCGCTTGAAAATCATAATTCGTGCCAAAGGTGACCAAGTCGAACAAGTCTAAACTTATTCTGAAATTTGATGCTATTTCCGACATTTTTTGCAATCATTTAATAAAATTAAAAAATTTTTAAAATTATGGCGCATGCGGTTTTATTATCTCCCCTTTATTTTTAAAAATATCCAATTTGGTTGATCTTTGGAAAAAATAATTTCCAAAAAGTCTACGAATGTTGGTCCTTAGAAAGAATATTATTTAAAAAATACCAACAAACGTCTTAAAAAAAAGTATTTTAAAAAAATCCAATTTTCTTGGAGCTTGGAAAATATATTTAAAAAAGATAAAAAAAATCGTTGATTGTTGATCCTTAGAAAAAATATTCTTTAAAAAAATTCACATTTGTTGGTCCTTGAATAAAAAAGAAAATTAAAAATATCCCAATTTTTTGATCCTTGGAAAAATTATTCTTTGAAACGTCCACATTTGTTGGTCCTTTAAAAAAATAACTTTTAAAAAATCCACGCATGCTGATCCTTGCAAAAATTTTTTTAAAAAAAATCTTTGTTTGTTGGACCCTGGAAAAATATTTTTAAAAAAATATCGAATTTGTTGGTCCTTGGAAAAAAAAATTATTTAAAAAAAAAACTTTGTTTGTTGATTCTTGAAAAAAATATTTTTAAGAATATCCAAGTTTTTGGTCCTTGGAAAAAATATTCTTTTAAAAGTCCACAATTGTTGGTACTTTGAAAAAATAATTTTTCAAAAATCCACCCCTGTTGATCCTTGGAAAAACTATTAAAAAATCTTTTTTTTTTTAGTCCGTGGAAAAATATTTTAAATAATATCCAAGTTGTCGGTCCTTGAAAAAAATATCTTTTAAAAAGTCCATGTTAATTGATCCTTGGAAAAATATTCTTTAAAAATTCCACATTTTTTGGTCCATGGAAAAATATTTTTTAAAAAATATCCAAGTTTGTTGATCCTTGGATAAAACAGATTATTAAAAATAACCAAGTTTTTTGGTCTTAGGAAAAAATATTTCTTGGTCATTTGTTGGTCCTTGGAAAAATATTCTTATAAAAATCCACGGTTTTTGGTCCATGGAAAAAATAATTTTAAAAAACCAAATTTGTTGGTCCTTTGAAAAAAAAATAATTTTTAAAAAATCCACACTTGTTGATCCCTTGAAAAATTTATAAAAAAAACCTTTGGTCATTGGAAAAAATATTTTTAAAAATACTCAAGTTGTCGGTCTTTGAAAAAAAAATATTTTTCGAAAAGTCCACGTTTTTTGGTCATGGGAAAAAATATTCTTTGAAAAGTCCTCATTTGTTGGTCTTTGGAAAAATATTCTTTAAAAAATCCACGTTTGTTGGACTTTGAATAAAAAATATTTTTATAAATATCCCAGTTTTTTGGTTCTTGGAAAAAATATTTTTTTAAACATGTCCATGTTTGTTGGTCCTCGGAAAAAAATATTTAAAAACCCACATATGTGGGTCCTTTGAAAAAAATATTTTTCAAAAAATCCCCGCTTGTTGATCCTTGGAAAAATTATTTAAAAAAATCTTTGTTTGTTGGTCCTTGGAAAAAATATTTTTAAAAATATCCAAGTTTTTTGGTACTTGTAAAAAATATATTGGTCCGCGGAAAAAATATCTTTAAAAACCTACACTTGTTGGTCCTTGGAAAAAATATTAAAAAAAAATCCACGTTTTTCCGTACTTGGTAAAATTATTCATGAACAAATCTATCCTTGGAAAAAATATTACTTAAAAAATCTATGATTTTTCATCCTTGGTAAAAATATTCTTCAGAAAGTCCACATATGCTTGTCCATGCCAAAAATACACTTTAAAAAATTCAAATTTATTGGTCCTTGGAAACATATTTTTTAAAAAGCCCACATTAGTAGGTCCTCAAAAAATATCCTTTTAAAAATACACGTTTTTTTCCCTTGGAAAAAACATCCTTACAAAATTCGCATTTACATTTTTATTGGGAAAATAATCTTTAAAGAATCCAAGTTTTTTGAGCCTTAATTTTTTTTTTTAAAAAAACGTTTTTTGATTCTTGAGAAAACATTTTTAAAATTTTTTTTTTTTAAATCCACTTTTCTCCCAAAACAAATATTCATTGAAGTTGTTGCTTTCCGTCACTCAAAAAAATATCATTTTTCGCTTACTCATTATCCTGTTTTTTGTTCTTCTATTTACAGTCTCCTAGTCCTGCTATGAATCGTATGGGATGGGCATTGCGAACATTATTGGTTGCTGATAATTCAAGCTGTTTAAAAGATAGAAAAGTAAGTAGCAAAAACATATACACAACCCATTCCCACACATACACCCAAACATCTGACACCGTAACCACAAAAACCAATTTCAATCCATTGCCTACCACATTTCCGGTATTGACCATGGCCAAACGTATTTACGTCTAAAAGCAATCGGGAATAAAAAAAAACTCAATAAATTATGTAAAGTGCATGACGACGACCATTCGGCCGAGATAAATACATTGAGTGTTTGGTTAATTTATTTCAAGTAGGATGATAAATATCCTTCCGGAACTATCCATTTATTCTTGTCCATCAATGGGCGAGTAATCATTGATGAGAATAAAAAATCACTGCAAATAACCAGTGTTCCGCAGAGATTGGAGGCTAAGCATACACAAATTGATGGCACCGGAAATGATTTTTAATTAATTTACAGAGCAATTCCACAAAATATCCTTTCGAAAAAAACGGGAGAAAATATTGAAGTTTTCACTGACTCATTCAAACACTGAAACTTTATTTGTCTACAATATTCAGTAAATATCCGAACACCCCCACACCCTTTCATATGATTCTATACATCCTTCACACTTTCACCTGTTCCGTAATTCCAGGTCTCCGGCAAACTTATCCGCAAATGTGCCCCTGGTACGGAATTTGTTGACTGGCTGGTAAATCTATCGTCCATTGTTCATACTCGGCCCCAAGCGGCTGGTATGTGGCAGGCTTTGTTAGAAGAAGGAATTCTATCACATGGTAAGTAAATTCTATTAAAAAATTACTAAAGAGAAAACATTAAACAAAAAAAAACAAACAAAATATAAAAAAAATCAAATCATCATATTCGCATATAAATCACCCTACTTTTGGATTCACTTTAATAATTTTCCAAAAAATTAAAATTGTAATACAAGAGGACCTTCAATAAAACTCTCTAAAAATGTCAACAAGTATAGCCTAAAATGTAATTTAAAAAACAATCCCTTCAAAAACTGAACAATTATAGGGTTAAATGTCCTAAAAACTCCTTGATAATTCTAACCTCGTCTTTTCATGAAACTCATAAAAATTCCCATGATTATAGTTCAGGATATTCTTAACTGAAATAATGTACAAGATATACACTTTCATAGTTCCCGAATCCAGTTAAAAAAAATCGAAAAAATATATCTTCTTGGAAGAGGGCGGAGAAAAAGAAGGAGCTTTTTCTGTCCTCTTCTCTAGAAAAGGACGAAGAAGAAGGAGTTTCCTCTGCTCCTCTTCTATAGGAGAGGACGAACAAAAATAATGACCTTCTTCTGCTCCTCTTTAGAAGAGGAGGACGAAGAAGAAGGAGACCTTCCTCTGCTCCTCTATAGAAGAGGAGGACGAAGAAGAAGGAGACCTTCTTCTGCACCTCTATAGAAGAGGAGGACGAAGAAGAAGGATACCTTCCTCTGCTCCTCTATAGAAGAGGAGGACGAAGAAGAAGGAGACCTTCCTCTGCTCCTCTATAGAAGAGGAGGACGAAGAAGAAGGAGACCTTCTTCTGCTCCTCTATAGAAGAGAAGGACGAAGAAGAAGGAGACCTTCTTCTGCTCCTCTATAGAAGAGGAGGACGAAGAAGAAGGAGACCTTCTTCTGCTCCTCTATAGAAGAGGAGGACGAAGAAGAAGGAGACCTTCTTCTGCTCCTCTATAGAAGAGGAGGACGAAGAAGAAGGAGACCTTCTTCTGCTCCTCTATAGAAGAGGAGGACGAAGAAGAAGGAGACCTTCTTCTGCTCCTCTATAGAAGAGGAGGACGAAGAAGAAGGAGACCTTCTTCTGCTCCTCTATAGAAGAGGAGGACGAAGAAGAAGGAGACCTTCTTCTGCTCCTCTATAGAAGAGGAGGACGAAGAAGAAGGAGACCTGCTTCTGCTCCTCTATAGAAGAGGAGGAGCAAGAAGGAGGAGGCCTTCTGCTGCTCCTCTATTGAAGAGGAGGAGGAAGAAGAAGAAGGAGACCTGCTTCTGCTCCTCTATAGAAGAGGGGGGCGAAGAAGAAGGAGACCTGCTTCTGCTCCTCTATAGAAGAGGGGGCGAAGAAGAAGGGGACCTTCTTCTGCTCCTCTATAGAAGAGGGGGCGAAGAAGAAGGGGACCTTCTTCTGCTCCTCTATAGAAGAGGGGGCGAAGAAGAAGGGGACCTTCTTCTGCTCCTCTATAGAAGAGGGGGCGAAGAAGAAGGGGACCTTCTTCTGCTCCTCTATAGAAGAGGGGCGAAGAAGAAGGGGACCTTCTTCTGCTCCTCTATAGAAGAGGGGGCGAAGAAGAAGGGGACCTTCTTCTGCTCCTCTATAGAAGAGGGGGCGAAGAAGAAGGGGACCTTCTTCTGCTCCTCTATAGAAGAGGGGGCGAAGAAGAAGGGGACCTTCTTCTGCTCCTCTATAGAAGAGGGGGCGAAGAAGAAGGGGACCTTCTTCTGCTCCTCTATAGAAGAGGGGGCGAAGAAGAAGGGGACCTTCTTCTGCTCCTCTATAGAAGAGGAGCGTATTCTTTCAAAATTGTTATAATTTTTTTTGTAATTTTGTAATTTTTTGCGTTTTTTTGTAATTTGTCTGAAACGCCTTCAGAACATGTACTTAAAAATCCATGTTGGGTAATCAGCTGGATCCTCAAATCATATCCTTAAAGATCTACGTTTGGAGGTCTTTTAATTTGTATTGGTGGTCTGTGGGTTCTTAAAATCTTGTTCTAAAAGTTCTTGAAAATAATTTTGTTAATCCACGTTTTCGCTTCTGATAGTCCTTGAATGACCTTATTTTGCTCTCCCATAAGGAAGGAAGGTATTTTTTGATGTTTTATAGCAAAGAACGATAGTTGAGAAGAGAAAAAAGAATAATAGAAGAGGGCGAAGAAAAAGGACCTTCTATTGCTCTTTTACAAATAAAGATCAAGGAGGTCTTGCCTCCCTCTTCACCCACAAAAGACCACCTAAAAAGGTCATAGGAAACCAAAAAGTTATTCTACTCTAAAAACCCAAACAGTCATCTCCCAGAGATTACCAAAAGGTTTGCTTCAAGAGCAAAACAGAGGGGAGATTTTATTCTCCCCTTCTGCGCAGCATTCGAACAAATCAATATTTCAATCCCAAACTTAAAGAAAAGGGTGAGGGTTTTGATTGTTAAATCAATTTTATGATTTTTAAAGTTAAATTTTAAAGTCGTTTTGGTGCCACATGGCCTCCATGGTACCCCCCGAAAATATGCATTGAGATTGTGCTTGGACCCCCTTCCCTTCCATCCCCTTCTTCCCTCTTTTCCCCCTTCCCATCCGCCATCAAACCATAAAAATCTTCAAACAAGCAATTTTTGGTTTTTTATGATTTCTCCTTTTTTATTTTCATTTCCTATTCCGTTTATTTTATTGTCATAAAAAGGGAATCCTAAGCCCTTTTTATTTCCATTTCATTCATGTGCGTGTGTGTGTGTAACACTTTTCCTTCCTTCTCTGGTTTTTCTTCCAACCATTTCCAGTTAACAAGGAACAACCCTTTAAGGATAAATGTTTTCTCTATCGATTTCGTGTTGACGAAGAAGGTACCGCTGGCGGTTCGCCCTCCGCTGATGACATTAATGCAGCCAATGAACACATACGTGAAAACCTAAGCACACTCTTCCAGCGCGGTCCGGATGCTACGCTGCGTATGATATTACGTAAACCGTAAGTATTTAAATGATGTTGGGCAAAAAAGTAAAAGAGAAAGACTTGAGGGGGAGGAGGTGGAAGCATGGTTCCGAGAACACAACAAAGTACGAGAAATATTAAAAAAACGTAGAAAGAAAAACACATAAAAACAGGAAACGTTTTATGGTTGCTAGCAAATAAAGATATTATCAGGATTAGGGTAAACTAACTGACAAGGGATCAAAGAAAGAGAGGGCGAAGTGGGTGGGGGTGGTTGGTTTGTTAAAAAGATTTAATAAACTACGGATATGGATATTTTGTTTTTTTTTTTTTTCATGCAGAGATAATGACTTGATTATTCTTTGATGTTTTCGAATGAAGTCAGGCAATGCTTTAAAGAGATTTTCAGTCAGAGATTTTGAGGGACAGGTAGTCAATTGTAGTTGACCCACATGGTGAAGGATAATTTATGAAAATATTTTATTTGTTGTTATTATTTCTTCCTTCCATCTTCTTTTTTAGTTCACATGAACGCACACCCGAAGAACTGGAACTAGTTTTCGAAGAACTTCTACACATAGCAGCATTATCACATTTATCGACGAGTATTAAGCGGGAGCTATCATCGATCATTGTTTTCGAGGCCCATGCTCAAGCTGGAACAATATGTAAGTAAAATAAAAGGAAGAAGAGAAAAAATATTAAATCTATAAAATTTATTATGAATCCTAAAAAAAAATCCGCAATAACCTTGAAAAATATCGCAGTCTCTCAAAATTTTAAAGAAGGTTTAAAATATTTTTGAACAAATATCCACATTAACTTGTCTGACAAATATGTATTTTGGTCTGTTGGTCTTTGAAAATTACAAAACTCTCAGTCATAATGCTAAAGAGGGTATACAGGGTGAGGTGAAAAAAAACTGCAACCAACTTAAGAAAGCTGTCATTTCTAAGCCACTCGTTCGACAGCTGTTAAAATCTATTCCAGTGACAGCTCATTATATTGTTTTCAAACGTACAAAAGCATTTTGGTGAGAATTTTACTGAAAAAAAAGAGTTCGGGGTAAAGCCATTGAACTTACAAGAACTTACACCGCAACAGAAAGAACAAGTAAAAAAACATTAAGTTCGGCCGGGCCAAACTTTTAATACCCTCCACCCTAGGGTAAAAGAACATTAGAAAAAATGTGGCAAAAAACATTAAAATGCCGAATATCGGGAGGTACCGTTATATAGGGGCTACACCAACACGTGCACCTATAATTACAATGTTTCGCCACACGAGCTAGGGCCCATTATGACCCACAAATACCAACTTTTACACAAATCAGTGAAAAAATGTGGCATAAATCATCAAAATACCGAATATCGGGAGGTACCGTTATATGGGGACTATACCAGAACGTGGACCTATACATGCAATGTTTTGCTACACGCTCAGGGACCCGTTGTGACCTACAAATACCAATTTTCATACAAATCCGTGAAAAAATGTGGCATAAATCATCAAAATACCGAATATCGGTAGGTACCGTTATATGGGGGCTATACCAAAACGTGGACCTATACATGCAATGTTTTGCCACACGCTCAGGATCCGTCATGACCTACAAATACCAATTTTCAGACAAATCCGTGAAAAAATGTGGCATAAATCATCAAAATACCGAATATCGGTAGGTACCGTTATATGGGGGCTATACCAAAACGTGGACCTATACATGCAATGTTTTGCCACACGCTCAGGGACCCGTCATGACCTACAAATACCAATTTTCAGATAAATCCGTGAAAAAAGGTGGCATAAATCATCAAAATACCGAATATCGGGAGGTACCGTTATATGGGGACTATACCAGAACGTGGACCGATATATCTCATTTTCAATACCAACCATCCTAGGGACAATACACACACTTGTGCCAAATTTCAAAGGTCTACGTCAAATAATGTGGGCTCTATCGTGATTTCAACAGACAGACGGACAGACAGACAGACAGACGGACATCGCTAAATCGTCTTAGAATTTTATGCTGATTATGAATATATATACTTTATGGGGTCTACGACGAATATTTAGAGGTGTTACAAACGGAATGACAAAGTTAATATACCCTCCTACCCATGGTGGAGGGTATAAAAATAGACTCAAAAGAGCTTAAAAGTTGATTTGCTTTGCCGAAAGTGGTAACCTGCCGAATTTGGTTTTCTCCGATGAGAAAACATTCGTTGTCCAGCAGTTTGTAAACAAACAAAATGATCGTGTTTACTTGCCAAAGAGGTCAGCTGAAAATGTGCAGCTTCGGTTGGCCACCAGAACTCAAGCGCCGGCCATGGTGATGGTGTGGGCCGCCATAACATTCGATGGTCTTTCTCCGCTCGTATTAATCGACCGTGGCATCAGAATAAATGCCGAATATTATCGCGAAAATATTCTGGAGGGTGTATTAAAGCCTTGGGCATGCAAACATTTTGGCCGCAGACCTTGGACATTCCAACAAGACTCATCACGCCAGCCAAGAATGGTTACAAAATGAGGTTCCTCGCTTCATTTCCAGTGCACAATGGCCACCAAAGTTTCCGAATACCAATCGGTTGGACTATTGTGTCTGGAGTATTTTGGAAAGCATTGTTGGCACTAAAAAATACCAAAGTGTCGATCACTTCAAGCAAGCGCTTCGCCGCGAATGGGACAAAGTACCGCAGAGCAACATTCGGGCAGCGTGTGACGGTTTCATTGGCCGTTTGAAGGCCATAATTCGTGCCAAAGGCGACCAATTCGAACAAATCTAACCTTTTTTCTAAAATTTGATACTATTTCCGATTCATTCGATAAAATTAAAAAAAAAAATAAAAATTGTGGCATTTGACTTTGTTTGCAGTTTTTTTATCTCACCCTGTATATATCATTTCATACGGCCAAAAAGGGGTCTCATCGATATAACGGTTTTAGACCTTAGGTCTCGGTGACCAAATCCGATTCAGAACATTTGGAATCAATCTACGGGTGTCCGTCCGTCTGTCCTTCGATAATTCTCGAAAGAAGTATCCGATTGGTACATCCTAGTGTTATTATCGAACTTAGATCGAAATAGGCAATATCGGTCCAATTCTTCTGAGAATATATTTTAAAGAAGACACGTTTGCTGTACAGGGAGTTCTTGGAAACATATTCTTAAACAATTCACATTTATTGAACAAGGAGTTACTTATTTTTTTTTCCTATTAAAAATCCATGTTTATTGACAAGGGAGTCCTTGAAAGGAGTTTGCAAAAATCCTATTGTTAAGATGGTCCTTCAAAACGTTTTCTTTAAAAAATCCACGTTTATTGACCAGGGAGTCATTGAAAATGTTTCCTACAAAAAAACACGTTTTTTGAACAGGAGTCCTTAAAAACGCATTCTTAAAAATCCATTGGTTAGAGGGCCCTTGAAAACGTTTTCTTTAAAAAATTCTTGTTCATTAAACTGGATGTCCTTCAAACATTTTTCTTTTTTTTTTTCTAATAATAATCCACGTTTGTTAACCAGGGAGATCTCGGAACATTTTTCTTAAAAAAATCCGCGTTTTTTTTAAAGGGAGTCCATGAAGAATTTTTCTTAAAAAATCCACATTTGTTGGCCGGGAAGTTCTTGAAACAAGTTCTTAAAAATCCTATTGGTTAGAGTGCCTTTGAAATTGTTTTTTTTTAATCAACGTTTATTGACCAGAGAGTTTTTTAAAATATGATCTTTAAAAACTCAGGCTTATTGATTTTTTCTAATAATAATACACGTTTGTTGACCCGGGAGTCCTTGGAAACATATTCTAAAAAAACTTCACTTTTGTTGACCTTGAAGCGAGTTTCTAAAAACCCCATAGGTTAGAGGGCCCTTGAAAACGTTTTCTTTTAAAAATCCAGGTTTATTCAACTGGGTGTCCTTCAAACATTTTTCTTTTTTCTAATAATAATCTACGTTTGTTAATCAGGGAGTTCTTGGAACATTTTTCTTAAAAAAGCGCTTTTTTTAAAGGGAGTCTATGAAACATTTTTCTTAAAAAACCGCATTTGTTGACCAGGAGTCCTTGAAACGAGTTCTTAAAAATCCTATTGGTTAGAAGGCCCTTGAAAATGTTTTCTTTAAAAAAATCCACGTTTATTGACCAGAGAGTCCTTTGAAATATGATCTTTTAAAATCCAAGCTTATTGACCAGGGAGTCCTTGATTTTTTCTAATAATAATACACGTTTGTTGACCCGGGATTCCTTGGAAACATATTCTAAAAAAATCCACGTTTGTTGACCAGGAAGTCTTTGAAACGAGTTCTTAGAGAGTCCTTTAAAATCCCACGCTTATTGACCGGGGAGTACTTGATTTTTTTTTTTTTTTCTAAAAATAATACACGTTTGTTGACCCGGGAGTTCTTGGAAACATATTCTAAAAAAATCCACGTTTGTTAACCAGGAAGTCCTTGACACGAGTTCCTAAGAGGGTCTTAAAAAACGGCTTGGCTTTCTTTGAGAGTTTTGTTTTTCAAAATCCTGAGACCCATGCGAGGTACCCGAGAAATGAGCCGATATCTACCATATTTATCTTTTGTTGAGATGGGAATATTGAGATGATGTTAATTTCGCATTTTATAAGCTTCATGGATATTCAAAAAACTTTTTTTTTCAAAAATTTGTGGGTGTCAATATTCGACCGATATATTCCATCTTTACATCAGTCTTTGGCTTAATACAAATATTGTACTATGTGCAATTTGAATACAGTAGGGCTCTTAAAGTTAAAAGTTTTCAAAATGTTGACCTTCCGTGGGTGAGCTACTTGATGGAGTGGACAGGTATTGTCCATTTTCACACCTGACCTAGCACTGATGCAAATATTAGGATTTGCAAAGTTGGAGCAAAATCGAATTATCATTTATCTTTCGGTGTAGTTAATTAGTTTCTTTGAACATGTTGATATTCTGTAGGGGAGGTACCAGAAGGAGTGGATCGATATTGTCCATCTCACAACTCGATCTAAGTTTGACAATAATATTACGATTTACCAAGTTTGGATCAAATCGGATACTCCCTTCGATAGTTATCGTGGGCGTTATATCGATTCCAAATGTCCTAAAACGGATTTGATCCAAAGAGACTTAGGGTCTAATACCGTTATCTCGATGATTTCACGTTTTGGCCTTATCAAATTATGTATAGCCTCTCTAGCCATATGGCTGAGAATATAAAAAGTAAGTGAAAATATTTTTAAATGGTTATCTACTTTAAAGTTTTTGGCCCCTTGAAAAATATTTTTAAAAATCCGGAAACAAACAAAACTCTTTTGATACATACACAAATCAAGTTATTCTATTCCTTAAAAAATATTTTTCTTATAAATCCCCAACTGAAGCTCCACTGATCCCTAACAATCATTTTTGGAAAATCTACAAAAATTTCCCCTGGTCCTTAAAAACTTGTTTATCAAAAGACCAAAATTCAAAAATTCATCCATTAAAAAGTATTTTTAAGACTCTCAGAAAAAAAGTCTTATATTTTTCAATATCCAAATATACACGGTCCACGAAATTTTTTTTTTTTTTTTTTTGCAAAATCGACAAATTAAGCATAATTGACCTTTTGAAATGCGCGAGTTAAGTTATCTTGATCCTTGAAAACAAATATTTCAAAAAATGCACTAAAATCTTTTGAAAAGCATTCATTGAAAAATTCTTGAAATAAACAAACGTACAATTCAGGCTTGGTTACTTTTGAAATAAAATCCTATTAAGAACCAACATCTCTTTAAAAATACTCCTAAAAATTCTCAATAAATAAATCTTAAAATTTTTTTCTTTAATAAAAACTTGAAATTATTCTTGAAATGTGCCCTTGAAACTATCTCAAATAAATTTTTTTTATAAATCCCCAAATAAAGTTCCGCTAGTGCTGAGCAAATATTTTTGGAACATCCACAAAAATCTCTCTGGGTCCTTGAAAACTAGTTTAGCAAAAATCTACGACTATAGCTCTGTTATATAAAATATATAAAAAATCTCCGAATAAATCTCTCTTGGTTCTTGGAAAATATTTGAAAAAATTCACGAAATTTAAACTTAAGAATTCTGTCTTCTTTTTGCTCCTGATATTGGTTTCACAATCCCTTTAAAATATTACAAGCCCGTTTAAACGTGACCTATCTTTTGTTTATCTTCCTGGCGCCCCCCCCCCCACTTTTTCTGCTCCACTTGTTTCCCCACAGTAAAAATTGACGTTTACTTTCTATGCATCCATCGCTCCTCAATTAAACGAACAAAGTTTCCGGGGAAAAAGTTTTACCTGTTCATCGTTTGTATCATTCTATAGTAACAATGTTGTTGTTGTTGTTACTGTTGCTATTCATGATGGAAACTTTGTTTAGCCTCTAGTTTCGCCGATCATAGAGGGATGTACTCACCGGCATTGATGTATGTTTATGTATGTGTTTATACGAAGCTGTTCTGTTGTTTGCATTTAGCCTCGGCGAAAAAAAAGTTTGGTTTATAGTTAATTAAATACCTTAAGCTAAAAGAATCTGTATTAAAGTTTAACACAATTAAACTTTGTCATTGTTATGCTAAACAAGAAGGAAGGCAGCAACAAAAAAATAACAACAACAAAAGCTACTGCTGCACTACAACAAAACACATCATAAACAAATACTTGAGGAGCAGTATCAGCCTTCTCATCCTTCTAAACAACCCAAAATTAAAAACGAGAAATAAGCATTTTTTATTGAAACCCCAACGAAGGTGGTGCAAACAAAGAAGCAGAACAACAAAAAATCATTTAATTTTTTTTTTTTTTTTTGGGGGGGGGGAATTGGAATTCTTATTAAAAACAAGTAAAAAAGCTGTAAGTTCGGCCGGGCCGAACTTTGAATACCCTCCACCATTTGGAACGAATTTGGCAATTCCCAAAAACAATAAAATCCGTTAAACAATCTATTAAAATCTTAAAAATACCGAATGTAGCTATTATATTATGGTCTATACGACGACGTGGACCTGCGTAGGTAACATTTGTCATAAGCCATTACAATATGCAAATACGAAACTTAAAAAAATCGGTTACAATGTCGATAAAATCAAAATACCGAATATCGGGAGGTACCGTTATAAGGGGGCTATACGAAGACGTGGACCGACACAGACCATTTTCTGTCGTAGGCCGTAGTATCCATTACGAACTTTAAATACCAAATTTGAAACAATTCCGGTGAATAAATTCGCTAAAATCATCAAAATTCCGAATATCGGGAGGTACCGTTGTATGGAGGCTATACGTAGACTTGGACCTGCACAGACAATTTTCTGTCGTAGACTGTAGTATCCATTACGAACTTCAAATATCAAATTAAAAACAATTCTGGTGAAAAATGTCCATAAAATCATTAAAATGTCGAATATCGGGAGGTACCGTTATATGGGGGGCTCTGCGAAGACGTGAACTTGCACAGACAATTTTCCATCTTAGGCTGTAGTATCCATTTCGAACTTCAAATACCAAATTTGAAACAATTCCGGTAAATAATGTCGCTAAAATCATCAAAATACCGAATATCGGATGGTACCGTTATAGGGGAGCTATACGAAGAAGTGGACCTACATGGCCCATTTTCTGTTTTATGCTGTAGTATCCATTATGAACTTCAAATACCAAATTTGAAACAATTCTGGTGAAAAATGTCCATAAAATCATCAAAATTCCGAATATCGGGAGGTACCGTTATATGGGGGCTATACCAAAACGTGGACCTACATAGCCCATTTTCAATACCAAAAGTTCTGCAGATATAGTACACATTTGAGTAAAATTTTATCAACCTACTTCATTTCGTTCGGAAGCTAGAGTGATTTCCACAGACGGATAGACGGACAGACAGACAGACGGACATCGCTAAATCGACATGGAATTTTATGCTGATCAAGAATATATACACTTTGTGGGGTCTAAAATGTGTATTTCGAGGTGTTACAAACGGAATGACAAATATAATATACCCTCCATACTATGGTTGGGGGTATAAAAAGTTTAAGGAATGTGGGGGGGGAGAAAATAATTTTACTCCCCAGATGCAATGCCGGTTTATGCGTTCACCTCTCATTTAATTGGTTTGCTTTGTTATTTACTTTTCTTTTCCTCTTATCTCTCCCTTTCTTCGTTTTTTCTCCACTCTTCATAACTGCCTCCCAATGGCAAATTCCATCGACATCCATCCAACCAACCAACCATCCATCCATCCTCCATCCATCCATGATACATGCCTCTGACACAAAATAGTATTCAGCCAAGGTGACGAGGGACGTTCGTGGTACATCATCCTGAAAGGATCTGTGGATGTGGTGATACATGGCAAAGGTACTGTGGCCACCCTTAAAAGCGGCGATGATTTTGGTAAACTGGCTTTGATTAACGACGCACCCAGGTGAGTTACGTGAAATTATTTGCGTGAGTATGTATGTGTGTGTCCTGGTATGTGTGAATATAAATGCGGGTGTAAATTTGTGTGGGTGAGTGCGTGCGGGTGTGTGACTCGGGTGAAGTCAATTGCTGTTGTGAATGTTTAAAAGACTCCTGTTGCGCTCTGATGCTGCGGGAAATTCCCACTGTATAGCAAGGCGTTTTTTTCGAGCGGGATATTCCATAATATACTAGGAATAATATACGAGGAAAACCATAATATGCAAAGAAAACCAGGTAACCTATTCTAAAAATTTTAGTAAAAAAAAAACATTTTTAAATATTGAAAAAAATTTTAAATATCTTTAAAAAATCCACGAGAATCAATTCTTGAAAATCCATGGAAAACGCCAAGCTTTATTTTCCTATGATTATTTGCATGGATGCCCCCATATAGCCATTATTAGTATGCCTACCGGTTATCCGCAGGTGGTTTCATGAAATAGAAATTCCATTCCATTTTCAGTGAGTATGATTGAGCTGTTCTCATTATCAATGGGAGGTAGGGGAGGGGAAATAAAAATTTAATTATGAAGGCTTATGCCGGCACCCTTTGTGCCACCTTGTCCACCCCGACAATCCTCGACGATTTGGTATTTTACCATAATTTGCATAGAACGCACAAAGTTTATTATCAAAGGTGTAATTAGATATTAGATAATTTCGGAAGAGTTTTCATTAACTTTTCAATTTGTTTTGTTTTAGGGGCGAAAGCTGGCGAAAGTGTACTCCATAATTGTCGCTTTTAATTAATCGTTAAGCAACGAAGTAATCTTAATTAAAATGGAAAAATTGTGAGCAAAAAGAGATTTTGTCATTGGCAGTTTTGTAGTTATAGTTAGGTAGAGGAATCTCAATAATCTATTAATTAAAAGTTTAGTAATTGTTGTATGGACATGTCCATTGCAGAATATTGTCAATGTAGTCTTCAAACAGTCAAACGTTTGAATATAAATATCAGGTTAGTGATATCGTTATGAAGCTGTCCCATTAAGAACGGGACAAGTTGACGTATAAGTAATGTTATAACAAATATCCATAGTATGTATACGCAACCTAGTACTCCAAAAAAACGACTATTTTAAAGCTCTTCTATACACAGAATACCTTTTAAAGCTCTTCTATACATAGAGGACCTTCTGAAGCTCCTCTATACATAGAGGACCTTCTGAAGCTCCTCTATATATAGAGGACCTTCTGAAGCTCTTCTATACACATAAGACCTTTTGAAGCTCTTCTAATCACAGAAGACCTTCCGAAGCTCTTCTATACACAGAAGACCTTCCGAAGCTCTTCTATACACAGAAGACCTTCCGAAGAAGCTATACACAGAAGACCTTCCGAAGCTCCTCTATACACAGAAGACCTTCCGAAGCTCTTCTATACACAGAAGACCTTCCGAAGCTCTTCTATACACAGAAGACCTTCCGAAGCTCTTCTATACACAGAAGACCTTCTGAAGCTCTCCTATACACAGAAGACCTTCCGAAGCTCTTCTATGACTAAAACACCTTCTGAAGCTCCTCTAGAGCTAGAAGACCTTCTGAAGCTATTCTATACACAGAAGACCTTCTGAAGCTCTTATATGGTTAGAAGACCTTCTGAAGCTCTTATATGGCTAGAAGACCTTCTGAAGCTCTTTTATGGCTAGAAGACCAGCTGAAGCTCTTCTATACATAGAAGACCAGCTGAAGCTCTTCTATACATAGAAGACCAGCTGAAGCTCTTCTATACATAGAAGACCAGCTGAAGCTCTTCTATACATAGAAGACCAGATGAAGCTTTTCTATACATAGAAGACCAGCTGAAGCTCTTCTATACATAGAAGACCAGCTGAAGCTCTTCTATACATAGAAGACCAGATGAAGCTTTTCTATACATAGAAGACCAGCTGAAGCTCTTGTATACATAGAAGACCAGCTGAGGCTCTTCTATAGCTGAAAACCCTTAAGCTCTTTCCTACACTGAAGATATTCTACTCTCTATATAGAAGACCATTTGAAGCTTTTCAGTAGAAGCTTCTACCGACAGAAGATCTTCTACAACTTTTCTAGGGCTAGAAGACCTGCTGAAATTTTTCTATGGCCAGTCGACCTTCTGCAGCTCTGCTATAGCCAGAAGGTCTTTTATAATAAGAAGCTCCTCTATATATAGAGGACCTTCTGAAGCTCCTCTATATATAGAGGACCTTCTGAAGCTCCTCTATATATAGAGGACCTTCTGAAGCTCTTCTATACACAGAAGACCTTTTAAAGCTCTTCTATACACAGAATACCTTTTAAAGCTCTTCTATACATAGAGGACCTTCTGAAGCTCCTCTATATATAGAGGACCTTCTGAAGCTCTTCTATACATAGAGGACCTTCTGAAGCTCTTCTATACATAGAGGACCTTCTGAAGCTCTTCTATACATAGAGGACCTTCTGAAGCTCTTCTATACACAGAAGACCTTTTAAAGCTCTTCTATACACAGAATACCTTTTAAAGCTCTTCTATACACAGAAGACCTTTTGAAGCTCTTCTATACACATAAGACCTTTTGAAGCTCTTCTATACACAGAAGACCTTCCGAAGCTCCTCTATACACAGAAGACCTTCCGAAGCTCTTCTATACACAGAAGACCTTCCGAAGCTCTTCTATACACAGAAGACCTTCCGAAGCTCTTCTATACACAGAAGACCTTCTGAAGCTCTCCTATACACAGAAGACCTTCCGAAGCTCTTCTATGACTAAAACACCTTCTGAAGCTCCTCTAGAGCTAGAAGACCTTCTGAAGCTATTCTATACACAGAAGACCTTCTGAAGCTCTTATATGGTTAGAAGACCTTCTGAAGCTCTTATATGGTTAGAAGACCTTCTGAAGCTCTTATATGGCTAGAAGACCTTCTGAAGCTCTTTTATGGCTAGAAGACCAGCTGAAGCTCTTCTATACATAGAAGACCAGCTGAAGCTCTTCTATACATAGAAGACCAGCTGAAGCTCTTCTATACATAGAAGACCAGCTGAAGCTCTTCTATACATAGAAGACCAGCTGAAGCTTTTCTATACATAGAAGACCAGCTGAAGCTCTTCTATATATAGAAGACCAGCTGAAGCTCTTCTATACATAGAAGACCCTATGAAGCTCTTCCATACATAGAAGACCCTATGAAGCTCTTCTATACATAGAAGACCAGCTGAAGCTCTTGTATACATAGAAGACCAGCTGAGGCTCTTCTATACATAGAAGACCTTCTGAAGCTCTTCTATACACAGAAGACCGTCTGAAGTTCTTATATAGCCAGAAGGCCTTCCGAAGCTCTTCTATTCATCGAAGACCTGCTCTATACATAGAAAACTTCCTGATGCTCTACTATGCATAGAAGACCTGCTGGAGCTCTTGTATACATAAAATATCTGCTGAAGCTCTTACATTGCCAGAAGACCTATTGAAGCTCTTATACAGCCAGAAGACCTCCTGAATCTCTTCTACAGCCAGAAGACCTTCTGAAGCTCTTATATAGCCGAAAGACATTCTGAAGCTCTTATATAACCAGAAGACCTTTTGAAGATCTTATATAGCCAGAAGACCTGCTGAATCTCTTCTAAAGCCAGAAGACTTTCTGAAGTTCTTCTAAAACCATAAAAACTTCTGAAGCTCTTATGTAGGCAAGATACCTTCCAAAGCTCTTATATAGTCAAAACACCTTCTGAAGCTCTTCTATACATTGAAGACCTTCTAAAGCTCTTCTATATCCAGAAGACCTTCTAAAGCTCTTCTATATCCAGAAGACCTTCCGAAGCCCTTCTACAGCCAGAAGACCTTCTGAAGCTCTTATATAGGCAGAAGATCTTCCAAAGCTATTATATAGTCAGAACACCTTCTGAAGCTCTTATATAGACAGAAGACCTTCTGAAATTCTCCTGTGGTCAGAAGATCTTCCAAAGCTATTATATAGTCAGAACACCTTCTGAAGCTCTTATATAGACAGAAGACCTTCTGAAATTCTCCTGTGGCCAGAAGACCTTTTGAAGATCTTATATAGCCAGAAGACCTTCTGTAGCTGTTATATAGCCAGAAGACCTACTGAAGCTCTTCTATAACCAGAAGTCCTGCTGAATCTCTTCTAAAGCCAGACACTTTCTGAAGTTCTTCTATAACCTAAAACACTTCTGAAGCTCTTCTATATATAGAAGTCATACTGATGGTCCTCTATAAATATAAGTTCTGTTGACGCTTTTCTTTACATAAAAGACCTGCTTACGCTCTTCTATGCATAGAAGACCACTTAAAACTCTTCTATGTATAGAAGACCTCTGAAGCCCTTTCCTCTCTGAATGTGGAATATTTTTAATGCCATCATCAATATGTTCGCAATGCAATGCAGTTATTTATTAATGGCTGCATTCAATTCAGCTTAACTGATAATTAAAGTTTACATTCAATTTTATTTCGAAACCAATACAACGCGTCCAGTTAATAGCAATTTGGCTCAGTAATTCTATTAAAAGTTCTGGCATAGTTTTGTGTTCTCTTTATTAAAGCCATTAGCATTCCGTTTACAATTCTGTGTATTTCCGGTTAAAATGAAATTAACTTTGGTAAAAAAAAAACTTTCAATCCCAAACTCATACAAATGAAAACCAATATATCCACCCGAAAAAAATAGAATCAATTCGTAACTATCCTCAGCTAATTGATTACCACGTTATTGCCACTGGATGAAGACTACAAATGAACTTTACAAGCATAAACCCACACGCCAAGCGCGCGTGTTTGTGTGAATATTTAGTATCTCATTCTGCTGTAAGTACACATGCATATGTATGTACATTTTAATGTTAAATAACATATGTAACATTCACACGCACATTCACACTAAAAAAAACCACTTCGAATTTTCCATCTGTATGTTCGGGTGGACTCTGAATGAAGCTGTTGCTTTTAAATGCCCCAAAGCTGGAAACTACTATCCTTCTGATTA